CCCCAAAACCCCAAAACCCCAAAACCCCAAAACCCCTTAGATTTTCTCAAATATTGAAAATAATATTTTAGAGATCTTTGCATGTGTATTGTTTGATGGAAGATTCGTTATTTTGCATAATATGAAGAGCCATCCTCAGTATCATAAAATTTGATTCTGATACCTATATTTTATGTAAGAGGTTAGGTCTAAATAAAACTCAAATTCCTTAAAGAGAATATTACCAGGAAGATCGAGCCCTTGCTTAATCTTTGCTGCATACTCTCTAGACAATTCTTGATGTACATTGATTAACTTCAAGGACTCCTTCAATTGCGATTTCTCAATATATTCCAAAATCGATCTAAAAACTCCATCCTCCTCTTTCCAACCATCACCCTTCCAATTCTTACATCCCTGAAACACAATAGTCTGAGTTTTAAACTCTCTTTCCACCATTGACGTCCCCTTAATCTCCTCTACCATTCACTGCTGCAACGTCAGCACCATAACCCTATCCACATTCCCCAGTACCACCCTCATCTGCTTCTCCCTCATCCTCACTCTATAAATCTCCCCTTATTCCTACCTCACAAACGTTCACTGCCTGATCCCCTTACTCACGACCCTCACTATCTCCCTAAACACCCTCCTCGGGAACCCCCTCTCCATCCTCCACACCTGGACCACAGTCAGACTCCCCACAGTCCCACTCCTAAATTCTGTCCAAGACCCTAATCATCCTCTGAATCCTTCCAATCTGTACGTACAAATCTACTATTCTTCCTACAGATATAGTACAAACTTACGCTTAGAGATGCCGACTGCCCAGGCTTGGCTAGCTGAGGATTTTAAGTGGGTCTATAGGTCAGGAAGAGATCTTACGATGAACATGGAGAATATGGGTTGGTCTAGGTCAGTGGAGTAGGAAGGGTGGATACTGAGGTCAGTGGATTTTAGGAAATTTGTGTGGTAGAAATCGTTTTCGAGGGACCACAGTTGGAGTGATGTGGTAAGTGACATTTTTTAAGGATTTTATATGGAATTTTGGATGGGGTTTTGGGGTTTTGGGGTTTTGGGGTTTTGGGG